CCCCTAGGGATTTACCTATGGTGCCAAAAGAATACCAACGGGCTACTTGTGCATCCCTAATGCCCCTCACGCACCACCCCTAACCTAAGCTCCATGTATGCCCCCACTCCATGTGTTCCACGGAGAGACCACCGACCCCAGGGCAAGATGCTGCACCCCAGGGGATCGGGGGTGTCTCTCCCCGAATTCTCAAAATAAAGATCATTTATATTTCATACTTCTTATCTTCTCAGCCACCACTGGTCCCCCACAGTTCTATCACTGTTGCTTCTTCTCAAAATTTATTCATCTTTCACATTTCTATGTATGTGTTAGACTCAGCATATAACGTCCATTCTGCTGGGAAGCATCCTGGGTATACAGAATTTTTGTTTATTTGAGGTTCATAAATACAGCTTGCTTATTTATATATAGGACACTGTTCTATGTCGTTAATAAAATTTTTAATTTTCTCCAATTTGTACATATATTTTCTTACATTGATTCTCAGGTCCTTGATGGTTTTTTGTTAATACTTTCAAGGAGATTAGTTTTTAAAATGAATTTTCAAATTGAGTTTTGTGTTATATATGTTTATTACTAAATATTGGCTAAATTGTGCGCGTATAGAGAAATGGCAAAGCTTGCACCTGGCGGGTTCCGTGCCTTGGTTTTGAAGGCACCCCCCCCCCCCAATGATTCCGCCCTGGATTCTGTTTCAGTCACTTCCTTGAAGCCCTTTAAAGTGTGATTTCATGTATTTCTATCCCCCTGAAATATATTTTTCTCGGCCTGTTTTTGCTGTTGGTGCCCCTGGAGTCACCCCCACACTTCCTCCGCACCCCTTACTCCTTCTCCAGCGTTACACACTTCAATCTGCCGGGTCCCTCCGTCACCCTTGCACAGCCGCTGTCCTGCAGGAACTGCAGTGACTCCATCGTTTCTCCATCTGCTCCGTCACCGATGGCAATTCTCCTGGCTCCAGTCACTTGTTACTGTAAACATCCCGCCTCGGGAATCCGTAGTAGCATTTGCTGGCACTTGTGGAATTTCTCGGGGTACATTTTGGGGTCCTGCATCCTAGCGATACATGGATGCAAATTCCCTGGGTAACACCAAACCATTTGCTAGGCAGCCTATTTATCTTGGATCCTCACCAACCCTTCATTTGGTCACGCTTTAAAAATTTAAAGTGGCAAGAATAAAATGCTATTTAATTGAAGAGTCGCCTTTAAATTTAGAAATGGAGATGAGGTCTCCTAATCCACCATTCTGTAGCGTCAGTGGGAGCTCTAACTTTCACAGAAGGAGAAACTGTCATGACCCTGTTTTGCGAGCTGGGACACCCTACACATTGGGTGTGTGACCATCCCCCAAGAGAAGAGAGGACCCCGGCATAGGCAGATGGTGCAGACGCAGCTGCGGACCCTGCCCTCTCCGGGTGAGGGACTTTCGGGATCCACGCTGGAAATGTCTGCAGCTGCCAGGTCGGAGGGACAGGGACCCTTGTCACGACCATCACCCACCCACACCCACCCACACACACACCCACCCACACCCACCCACACACACACACACACACACACACTGTGTTCCTCCTCAGCCGGGCTCATGACTGCTTCAGGGCAAGTTTCTTTGTGTTTGTGTGGCAGCTGGAGGCCCCCTGAGGAATAAACAGAGCTACATTTCAGGAACTTGGTGGCACACACGGTAGAAGTGTGTGTCTGGAGCCCAGATAATTTCTGGGATACCTTACCGTAAAGGAGCATAAATCTAAGTTATTGCTGCTGACTCTGCCAACTTACTAAATGCCCTTGATTTTTCTGTTTCTTTCTTTCCCTCTCCTCTAGTGCTTGATTGATGTCAGGACTGGCTCTTCCTTTCTTCTCTGAGTTCCTGATCTGACGATCTATCGACTCCTACGTTCTGCAAAAGCAGAAGGCGATTTTGCATTCTTAGCATTTCTGCAGGTCAGCGAGGCTTAAACCAGGGGATTTTTGTCTAATAATTCTCCGCCAGCTTGAATCGCCCCTGGGTGTGAAAGTGCAATGCTGACTTCAGCAGAGATCTCCAGGACGGCCAGAGCTGATGCAGGAGCGCTCAGATGCACTAGAGGCAACGATCAGGGCTTTTGTTCAGGCCTCTGCTGCTGGCTGGGGTCCAGACAGCTGTGTTTCATGGAGGAGCTCAGTGTTCCAGCAGAATGAATGCCCACAAGGTATTTGTGTTACACACACACACACACACACTCACACACACACTGAACTTAGCCAAACCAACAAGAATCAACAACTCCTAAAAAAACCCACATGAGCCAAGCCTTGCAGGCACATGGGCCATCACATGTGTGAGGAGCGTGTATTTCATAGACCTCACAAGATTTTAACTGGTGACCCTTCCCAATCCTACTAGTCACAAGTGTCCTAATGTCTGTGACACAAATGTCACAAATGTTTACCAGAGCACTGCTGCATGCACTGGAGCCGGAGATGAGAGTGAAACAGGAAGACACGATTCCTGCCTGCCTGGAAGTCCTGAGAGAGACGAGAACACGCGTAGGCAAACACACAATCCGGCACTGCAGAATAAAGGACCAGAGGATGGGCTGGGGGGTGAGCCAGTCAAGTGACACATATAATTAACCACCACATCAATATATGCTTCGGAGGCAGAAATGACAAGATCTGATGATTAACTGCAAAGGTTGAGGGTGACGGGAAGAGAAAGGGAGAAATTATGAGACACAAACCTGTGTTTGCGGAGGAAGCCAGTGCTGTATGGTGGGGTGTTTCTCTGGGCAGAAGACTAACAGGCAGGGAGGCCCAGAGCTGACCATTGAGGAGTGTAACAGGCATCCGTGAGAGCTGAGACTGCACAGGGTACGAAAACCAGCCTCCGCCTCATGGAGGGGTGTGGGTGCTGTAATCGGGGTGTTCAAGCCTTGGAGGCCGATGGGGCCCCAGAGGAGTGCGCTAGAGAGAGAAGGGAAATGCCTGTCCACACTGAGACTCGCTCGTGTTTAGAGGTGGGAAAAATGATTCTCCTTTATGTGTCTCTGGCCGTACAACTGGTGACATCACAGTCAAAGCCATTTGCCTGCTGCTCTTGATACCTTTTGAGCTCTGCCATCTGACTTCCCAGCCCCGCACCTGCGCTGGGCCTGTCATCGCCGATGAGGTCTCTGTGCCCCTGACCATGTGGAGATGACCACAGAGGAGGGACAGGCTGGACTTCCTCCACCTGCCTCCAGCTCAGCAAGCTCCCTGCCCTACTGCAAGGCCTTGTTCCAGCTCAAGTGCTCTCGGGGAACTTGCTTTCTTATCTCATAATGAGATGCTTCTTCCTCTGCTGTCTCCTAGATCTTGCAGATGTCTCTCTGGGGAGCTCCTGAGGAAGAATTCTTTATTTTTCATTGCAATGTGTTCCAAGTTCATAATAAACCCTTGAAAAATATGGAAGAAATGAACAAATAAAGGTCTAAAATGCTCAGTGGCCCAGTCAAGGTTCTCTAGAGAAAGAAAACCAACGTGTGTGGTGTGTGTGTGTGTGTGTGTGTGTGTGCGTGTGTGTATGTTTTATTACAAGGAAAAGTCTAAGTCCTACTCTAAGTCAAAGCCCTGAGAATGAAGAGACTGAAGGTGATGTAGTGCCTGTCTTTGCTGGTTCACTTTTGTCACCCAGCGACAGCAAAGGGTCTTTGACTTTTGAATCTGACACCTGTGGCCTCTCCATTTCCTATGCCAGGCAGGGGCCTTTGAATGTTGGGGTCATAAAAAGCATGTGTGGCATTTTCTTCAGGGAGAGGTTGTTTCTTAAAGAGTGATTACCGTGGGTCATAGTAAGTCTTCCAAAAATGTCAGTTAATGTGCTGACCCTCACCCCACTCACATGGCCTGACTAGTTATAGGGTCTGTGCAGATGCTACCAGGTTAGGGTGAGGTCAAGGGGCTCAGTGGTAGGGCACCTGCCAGGCACACAGAAGGCCCTGAACTCCAGCCCTGGCACAAAACATAAAAATGTGGTTTTGGTGCATTGTGGTGCAGCCTAACCTAATAACTGGTGGAAGTTTGGGCCCAGACCCAGGCAAAGCACCATGTGTTTTTGACAGGGGACAGAAGTGATCATCTCTAAACACCAAGGAGCAAAGCATGGCCCCAACCACAGAATCTGGGAGAGGCAAGGTGGGTAAAAAGCAAAGCCTTCAGAGAGCCCGTGGTCCGGCTGGCAGCCTGAGGGGGCCAGGGCTTGAGCCTGCAGGAGCTGTGTTTTAAACCACCTAGATGATCCATCGTGCGATGGCCTCTCCAGGACTCTAATACCTGATTCTGTGCACCTGTGCTTCTAAAAAGAAACGAGGACCTAACCAATCATTCTCATGCCTCCTCTGGTAAATCAAAGGCAGTTGAGATCCAGGAGAAGCCTGGCCTGTGTGTACAGAAGGGAGAAAAAGAAACAGATTCCAGTGGAATGTATGGAATTTAACAAAGTCAGCATTTGAAGCGTTTCTCTACCATCCAATTGCTCAGCTGAGATTTTATTGTTGGGTTCATTAATTAAGTGAGCATATTTCCCCTGCAGGGATCCAGTTTTGGGGTGCCCACAAGAACACAGACTTTGGGGTCACACAGACTGAGCTCCATTGGATTCTCCAGTGACCTTGGGCAGGCCAAGTCCCTTTCCATCCTGGAGCCCCCGCCTCCTTGGGTGCCCATTCTGAGGCTTTTCATGCAGATGCAAAGAACTGAGGTTTCTGATAAATGCAGGGCACTGTTCTGCCTGTGGGACAAAGCAATCTGTCCCCAGCACTTACTCTGCAAAGGGACAATCTGTCCCCAGCAGACACTGGAGCATCACCAAATGATTGAGGAGCAGACTCTCAGGGCAGGTGGGGTGAAGCACAGCCACACATCTGCGCTCCACAGCCACAGGAGGAGCAGCAGCGTGGGACAACCAGGGGCTTCCCAGCAAGGCGTGGAATGAACCACCTGACACCACCATGGACAAATACAGCAGGACACATGTTTCTCACTGTGAAGATGGTCTTTATTTGATTTTCCCCACCTTTCTATGAAAGAGTGGTTTCGCCAGTACAACACATACATTTCAAAAGCAGTAGTAAGATCTCTTTAAAAATAAAAGGAAAGAAGGAAGCTAGTGGGAGAAGAAAAATGTAAAATAGAGGCTTGGTTAAGTGTAAGCAGGTTCCTATCAGGAGAGGAAGATGGCACCATTCTTCCATCAAAGCAGCCACACGGACATGCTAATGTGCTTGTTCTTGAGTTATCTGCTCATAAAGGAGAAGCAGCTAAGATTTCTTCTCTAGCACCTCTAACCACCCTGGCAACTCGCCAAGCTGGCTTTTAGCTCTGTGCGTCAAGGAGGCTCCTGCACAGTCTGGCAAGAGTTGGGCAAGAAGGAGCCCAACTCTGCTTTTCAGAGGGACACACAAGTGACAGGGTCAGACACTACAAGCATAGGAAGGGAAGCCTGCAGGCAGTGGCTGGGCAGCTGGCACAGCCCAGTCCTCTTGGGCTGTTCTTTTGACCTGGCTGCCTTTCACTGATGGTCTGGCAGGCCGGCGGTCACTGGGACTGGGTATTCCAAGGCACTGCAGTCATCCGACAGGAAGACCAAGTCCTGCAAGAGATGCACGGTGAGCTTAGAGCTTGGATCTCCTTAGATTGTTCAAATGTTTCCCACTGTGTGGAACTGTCACCCCTTGACACCCCCAAGGAGAGAATCTCCCTTCTCTTCCCCCACATTCTTGGAGGATCTTCTATGTTTTTAATAGTCTTACTTATGGGATTCTCTCATATGCTGACCACAAGGATGGGGGGTAAGTGGGTGGAAGAATGAATAAATGAATGAATGAACAAATACATCTTGGTTATTGAGCATGTCAGGCCCAGGCATGGGGACACTGCGGAACAGCACCGGTTCTCACCCTTGGCCCCTCACAGTGACCCCACATCACTTGCCAGACTGTGCTGTTTGTATCATCTTCTTGTGTCTTCCCCTGCCATGGTGGTTAGGGCTGAATGTAAACTTGATTGGCTTAGAGACCTGTCCAGGGGACTGGTGGCTCTGGAGACACACTTTTGGGTGAGTCTGGGTGACCTAGAGGTTTACGTATGCTCCCTCCCCATTCTCTGCCTCTGTTTCCTTCCTCTGCTCCTGGACCACCGTGAACTAAGCACCTCTGTTCCACCACACCCTTCCACTGTGATGTGCCTGCTTAGAGCCAGCTGACCATAGACTGAATCCTCTGAAACCATGAGCCTCCAAACCATGGCTCCTTTAATTTGTGGGTGTCAGGAATTGCATCACAGTGACAGCAAAGCTGACCAATATACCCTAGACCAAGAAGAAGGGGTAAGAAGAGGGTCAGGACTCAGAAGAAATACAGAACCAATCTTTGCTATAAGGACAAAGAAATGAAAACTTAATGACTAATCATTAAAGTTTGGGACGGGTTTGCTGTGGTCAGCAGTTGCTGGGAACTCTAAGCCAGGCTAGGCATCTCAGGATGCGGCCATCTGTGACAGTGATGGCACATTGCAAGGGTGGAATCAGCATTGTCCTCCCAGCAATGGCAGGAGGTGAGCTCTGTCCTGTCCCAGTTCATGGGAAGGAAGCTGCTCTTCAGTGTGGGAGGCAGCATACAATGCAGGGCTCCTGGAGCTGGCCTCTGGGTCCTGAGGTCACATGGCTTTCTGGCCCTTTCCCTTTTCCTACCAGAACCTTGGCTCACAGGACACCCCAGAGACCCCTGCTCCTCAGGAAAGTCTCTGACCTGCCCCCCACACCCTGAGTGTGGCCCCACATCCATGTGCAGCTCCTGGAGGTCAGCGACCTCAGCCTGACAGCCCATCTCAGCGAAGGCTGGGGCACTGGAGGACTTTCTGGACAGGAAGAGCCTTCAGAGCCTTCCTGCTCTGGGCCTTCAGAGCCTTCAGAGGCCCCATCCAGCCCCCTGCCCCTAAAGCTCAGCATGTCCTGCCTGGCAGCCAGCAGAGAGGACTCGCCAGGGGCATACGCACCCTCCTGCAGAAGGAGTTCATGATGGTGTAGAGCTTCCGCACTTTATCCTTCAGGGCGTCGACCCGGGCCACTCTCCAGCACTGTGGCGAGGCCACAAAGTCACGCAGCTTGGCCAGCACGCAGTAATTCTGGGATGGGCAGCAAGCAGAAGTCAGCATCCCAAGGCGGGAGCTAAGCTCCCCTCCTTCAGGGCAGATGGGACCCAGGCTGCCCACTCCAGGCTCCGCCCCACCCCCCTCCCTCCCCACCGGCAGAGCATCTTACGTGGATGTCCAGGTACAGACGGGGAAGGTACCGCACACAGACCTGCAGAGAAGATGAGAGCTGCTGGGTGCTCACAGGGACACGTTCTTGGTCTGGTCCCAGGGGACCAAAAACTGTCCCACAGGCCCTGAGTGTGGCGGCCCCACCAGCAGCCAGCCCAGCCTGGTTCAGACCCTTCTCAATGTGACAACACCCACAGTGTTTTCTTGTACAGGTGTCACCCGTGCCCCCAAATGGGCAGCTGCTCTTGCAGATCTCAACTTTCAGAGCACAGCTGGCATAAGATTTACTGGGCATCAGGACCCTGTGTCCCCTACCCACATCTATAGAAATATAGGGATACACAGCACAGTGCTGAGTTAGGTTTATACACATACATAAGAATTTTATAGTTGGTTCTTATACAGCAGTTATATAAGTCCATCAGATATAATATATATAGAAATAATGTACAGTAACAAATACTGAATTATATTACTTATATAATTTAAGTTCTAAGTGCAACCCAGATTTAGTAAACTACATGACAGAGCAGTCTACCTATGTGCCTCTACACTGCTGTATTCTAAGTTTGTTCCTTGAAAGCTTGAAGCCCCGGAGACTACATTCCCGCCCTGTAATAATTCCATGCGACCTTGAGCAAATAACTCCCTTCTCAATAACTTCTCAGCTATGAAGTTAAAAGGCAGAATCATCTTCCCCCTTCCCTTCTGCTCCGCAGTTCTGAGCCTGTGATGCTGCTGCTTTCATTTTGCTTTGTTCGCCTTCTGAAGTCTCCTTTCTTTAAAGGAGGAGCTCTGTACGTGCTGAACAGCGAGGAGCTGTGGATGCGTAGGGCGACTGCCCCACAGAACGCTCCCGACGATGCACGGGGTGGCGTGTCACTGGGCAGCCGTGAACGGCCACAGGCCTGTTGGTCCAAACCTAGCCCACCCTGCATCTCCAGGGGCAGCACCTGACCACATCGGCTTAGTCGGAAGCAGAAATACCTTTCCTCCGACCCCACAGAGCTTACCCTAGCGGTAGAATTACAAGCGATGTCTCTTTTCTTCTTTGTCCCCTGTGCATTTTCAATCATATATTACTTTTACAGTGACACATAAACGAACACAGTAAGAGGCTGTTAGGGTACTAAGCCCCAACATCTGACAAGTGCTAGCTTCTGTTTGAAGCCTTTGTGGTCAGGGGACACGTTCCAGTTTTACCCCAGCTCTTAATGATGGCTTTGGTCCCTGTGCTGGAAAAACAGCTGAGGGGCCTGGATTCTGGGCCATGGCTCCCCCTCTGGGGCTTCTTCCCCTCCAGAGCACGGGCTGAGCTCTGCGCAGGCTTCTTACAGCCTCTCTGCACCCCAGGCAATGGTGGGGTGCTCTTGTCATGCTATTTTACAGGGAGGGAAACTGAGGCAGGAGGCTGAGGGAACCCCAGGCCCACCCCTGCAGCTGCTCAACAGGTCAGGGTGGAGACCTGCTCTGTGTCACCCCCTGGCACCCCCAGATCACGGGCTGATGGGCTAAAGAAAGCCTAATTCTTTAACTTAGTTCTCCTGTTTAGAGTTGGTGAGAGTGGAAGGTTTCTTTTATTTCTTTTTCAGTGTTTTATGTTTCACAAAGCCTTCTCTCTTATTTGCTGGCAAGTCAAATAAAGCTTGCACTGCATCTTTGATTTCTTTTTCTCCTATTAAAAAGTCCTTTCCTTTCCTTTCCCTTCCATTTCTTTCCTTTTCCTCCCTGCCTTCTTTTTTCTTTCTTTCTTTCTTTCTTTCTTTCTTTCTTTCTTTCTTTCTTTCATCCATCCATTCTTTCTTTCTTCCTTCTTTCCATCCTTCCTTTTTCTTCCCTTCCTCCAGTACTGGAGATAGAACACAAGCGTGCTCTATTTCTTACCTCTGAGCTATATCCCTAGCCCTCACTACCTTTAAAATAATTTTTCAGACAGGGTCTCCCTAAATTACCCAGGGTGGACTTGAGCATGCTCCCAGCCCTCCTGCTCAGCCTCTCGGGCAGACAGCTGTGCCCACAGGTCTGTGCCCCCTCGCCTGGAAGCCAAGCTTCCAAGTGCTGGCTTCCTGGCTGGAACTCACCTCCGGCTCCACAGCCTGCAGGAGCTGGAAGTCCCTGGTGATCTCCTGGCTGAGGCCCAGCATTCGGGAGTAGCAGGTCGGGGGTGCGGCACTTGCTGGGGGTCCCGCAAGAAGCAGCAGGAGGAGCAGGGCCAGCGTGAGGGGTGCCATGGTGCTGGCTCCCTCAGGCACTGCACCCCTTTATAAAGCCCTGGACTGGGCAGGGCCAGGGCCAGCTCCCGCCTCTGCTTCCTGCAGGCCAAGGGGTCTGGCAGGCTAGATCGGTGCGTCACGCCTACCGCCCACCGGCAGCCCCTATCCCTGGGATGGTCTGGTCTGGGCGGGAGCACCTGGGAGGGAGCGGCCTGGTGATTACAGCCAGCAGGAGCCTCATCTGTGAGCCAGCTTAAGAGGGGCCGGGTCAGAGGCCAGGATGGGCCCCTGTGCCTGCAGCGAGGGGCTGATTTTAAAGCTGGCTGATCTAACAGTTAGCGAGCAGGGCACCCCCTCGTGACTACGTGTGGCCTAGAGCCATTCTTTTTTCTTCTCCTCCTTCTCCTCCTAGGAGATTAAACCAGGGTCCTTGCTGCCTCCCCAGCCCTTTACATTTTTTTCAGTTTTGAGACAAGGTCTTACAAACTGCGTGCCTGGGCTGGAACCTGTGGTCTTCTGCCGCAGAGTCCCAGGGTGCTGGGATCACGCGTGTGCGCCAGCTGCATCCAGCGAGTCAGTTTCATATGTTTTCCCTCTTCACATGTGCAGTGGACTGACAGATGCCCATCGCTCAGAAAGCCAAGGAGATGCTGCGGGAACTAAGCTAGGGGACCCATGCCCGGTCTGTCGTGACAGGTCTGATGGGTCTGAGTTTACAGGTGCCTTGCTGTGTCGTCTCTGTTAATCCTACTGCGCACAGAAACAGCCCTGTGCACGGGCCAGCAGGGGAAATGAGGCTCAGGGAGTGCCAGCAGTGCGGCTGAGCTGGGGCAGCCCAGAGTCCCTGGTGCAGACGAGGCTCCACACCCTGCTCTCCTCTCCATTCCCCTCCAGGGGAAGCAGGGGACAGCAGGACTCTGGCTGGCCATCTGGATGAGTTGGGTCCTTGTGTTGCCCAAGATCTGGGAACGGGCAGGAGAAGGGGAGAAATCTCGCTTCATCAGCGCAGGGCTGCTCAGTGTGCTGGGCCACAGACACCAAATGCAGTGGGGTGCCAGGGGTCAGTGCCATTCCTAGCAAGGAACCTGAGGGGCACAGAGGGGCTGGGAACTTGGGCAGCAGTGGTGGGGTGGCCTGGCTTCAAAGCCTTGTGCTCTGAGGGAGAGCAGGGGCAGCGCCAAGGGCCCTCACTGTTCCTCAACAAGCAGCCAAAGATGACGACCGCGGGCACTGAGGAACAGACCACGGTGTCCCGGGCACGGGGCCGACCCTGTAAACAGGTAGCATCACTCTGGGCAATGTCTGCGGTCACTTTCAGTGACCCACACTGTGTTGATCTAACTTTTGGTGTGCAGAGCTCAGGGCAGGGAGCGGAGCCCTGCCTTCCTGTTTTGGAGGCAGTGGTGTGTTCTCCAAACACAGCCCCAATGGACCCCGACCTAGACCCGGCCATGTGTCTGGCAGCCGTTCAGGTGGGGCAGGACTGTGGGTGATGGAGGCGGCTACAACCTCAGACTTGCTTCCTCTGAACAGAGGCTCCAGCTCCCTTCCTGGTGAGGTCGGAAGTGTGGGGCTCCCTGGCTGACTTGAATGCAAGTCGGCTCAAAATGCTCTGGAGCATCTGGGTGAGTTCATTACAGAACTCAGATTAAGAACAGTGAAGAAAAACAAGCCCAGGCATCAAGTAACCCTTGCAGCCTTTACATCCAGGAGCTGTCACTGCCATGCTGGGAACTGGGGTCCTCTGCCTGTCATCTGGAAACTGAGATTAATGTGTGGCTGGGAGAGTGACCTCGCTTCCCCAGCACATGGTGTGGGGCTGTGGCCCAGATTGTCAGAGCTGCACTAACGCGGAGTGTTTGTAGGTCCTATTTGTGGGCGGATGAGCCACAGGCTCACTCCTCAGTGCTTCGGGCTCCAAATGAGATGTTGTGGGGTGCTGGGCTCCCCAGGGGTCACAGTCCAGTGGGAGGCAGAGTGCAGGGCCTCAGCCAGGCCCCAGGGGCACCCCACAGCTCGCCCTCACCCTGCAGAGCCGGAAGCAGGGAGCTGGGGAAGCTGCCAGGCGGGTGGTGGCACAGTGTGCAAAGAACTGCACATCTGAGGTGTCTCAGTGCTTCCAGGTCCCAGGGCCTGTCCTGAACATGGGCATAGGGGCACCGGGGTCTTGCCAGCTGGTGTTTCCCTTCACTGGTGGTGCCTTTCTCTGGACAGTGCTGATCCAGTCACCCAGCACACCAGCACCCAGCCAGGCAGAGCAGGGGCACAGGAGGACAGTGCTCAAGTGACTGCATGGCTGCTCTTGCTACTCAGAATGGGGCATGCGCCCTGTAAGAAACCCTTGCGATGGGGCTGGGAGTGACTCCAGGAGTGACTCCATGGTGACTGCTTGCCTGGCCTGTGAGAGGCCCTGGGTCTCATTTCCAGCACAGCAAAAACAGCAAAGAGAAACCCACATATCCCAACCCTCATGGGCTCCTTGGGGGACCCTGGATGGAGACTGGCTCAGAGTGGCCAGGGCATCCCTTCCTGGCAGCCAGCTGCGGCCACCAGAGCCATGGGAAGCGCCCACCTGTAGTCCCAGCACTCTGGGAGGCCGAGGCAAGTTTGAACCCAGCCTGGGAAACTGAGACTTAGTAAGACCTTGTTGCAAAATAAAAAAAAATTAAAAGGTTGGGGATGGAGCTCAGTACAAAGTCCCCTAATTCAGACCCCAGTATCAAAAACAAAATTCCAGGCAGGAAGCTCACCCTAGAAAAGAAAGAGCTCGTGCACGTACAGTCATCCCCACATGAGACAAGGCCGTTTTCTTCAGCTGGCTCTTCCTTCCCGGGCACTGTGGCTCCTGACCACGTACTATGTGCTGGCACTTTGGTGTCAGCGAGGACAAGACAGTGACAGAGACCCGGAGCTGGCTGCTGCTCTCATGGAGGGGAAGAATATCGGCAGTTGACACGCTGGACCCTAAGGACTCGTGCTTTCTCATCCCCGTCCTGTGCTGTGACACCCGCCCTGGGACCTTGTGCTCTGCACCACAGCAGGCCCTCTTCTCTTCTCTGAGTCACGGGCGGGCTGGCTGGACTAGGGGTTTCTCTGGCCATGGCACCTGCCTTCCCATGCAGGGTGCAGGCCAGTGGTAATGGGGACCCTGAATGCCCAAGATGGCCCCCAGCGAGGGACAGAGGAGCCCTGCTTGAGAATGGTGTGGGTCTTCCCGGCCCAGCTCTAGGTGACCACAAAAGTTTTTCCTGTACCTCCCATGGGGGCAGGTAGGGAGCTGCCCTCCTGATCCAGACTGGACACAGCTGGTACATGGCAGACTGTTTAGGGCCCCTCCAGACAAGGGCTCAGGCCGCAGGCTCTGAACTCACCAGGCAGAGTGTGGCCCCCTCAGCCTAGGACTCTGTCTGGCTTCCCAGCCTCTCTTCAAGAGCCTCTGTGGACTCTGCATGGGGACCTCGGAGACCCAAATCCTACTGGTGCTGGTCCACCTGTCCCTCTGCACCCATGGCCAGGCCAGGGGTGGAAGCTGGAGAGGGACTCTTCTGGTCCAGCCATGGGTGGCTAAGGTGACACTCTTCCCTTCTTGGCTGTGGCCTTGGGAGGCTGCTGACAGGGTGCCTGCAGCCCATCTCTTCTAGCTGGACCTTGCTCTGGACCCATGGCTGCATGAATGTCCCACCTCCTTTGCCCATGTGTCAAGACAATTCTGAGGCAAGTTCTTCAGTCTCCTGATGTCCCTAGCAGACAAGGCCCAGGGCCCAGGCAGGGGTGAGCTGAGTGGCCCTGGCGTGCTCTGTTGGTTTCCTTCCTGCCTGTGCTCTTTCGCCACAGGAGTCTTCTGGGCTCTGTCCCAAAAGACCATTTTCACTCAGGTTTCTGCCTCAGGATCAGCTTTTCTGTTGAGCTGCAGAACTGGGACATGGGCCAGGTGGGAGGAGGACGAGAGGTCACCGTGATGCCCGCTACACTTACCCTTCTCTAATGTGAGCCCTCACGGACCACGGCGCATGTCCCGTGGCTGGCACCACCTCACGGCTCCCTCGAAGCTTCTTTAGTCCCTGCTGGCTGACTCCGCCCTCAGCTGCTGGAGCTGAACTGCTGTGGCCCCAGCATCCCCTCGGGGGACTTCTGTTGAAGTTCACTGGCTGCTAGATTAAGTGTTGTGGATGGCGAGGCAGGCCCTTTGGGAAGTGGGTGGGTCTTGGGGCTCCATCCTCACAAGGAATGATGGTCACTACCCAAGAGCTGGGCTAGTTTCCTCAGGGGCAGGTCAGCGGCCCCTGTTCTGCCCCCATGGCTGACTTATCCCTTCTGCGCCCCCCAACCCACCCCACAGATGCTGGTAATACACTGCCCTGGAGATCCCGGCCTCCAGAATTGGAAGCCAAACAAACTGTAGCTTATAAACAACCCCTCTCAGGTATTCTGTGATAGCAGCAGAAAACAGACTAAGACAGTCCCCCTTGTGTCATGTGGTATTTTCAGAGCCTCTTTGGCATTTGCAGAGAAAGGGCACTTACTCAGCCTTTTCCCTTGCCCGTTCCAGACCAGCATGTCCCCACACTGACGTAAGCAGCCAGGAGAGGACTCCTTGTTCTCAGCCCTTGGGGACAGTGGGAAATTCCTGAGGGTACCATGGGGAACAAACAGGCCCTGGTTGTTGCTCTGGCTCCATGGAGCTTGGCGCCGTGGAAGCGAGACCGGCACCTTTCCAGTCCTTGCCTTCCTGTTGTCACTTGTGACAGCACCCACAGTTGAAATAGCCATGGCTGATGCCACTTCTCCTGTGCTGCCAGCTCCAGCCATAGATGGAGTCCTCAGTGGGAATGCTGGGGTGACATTGGTGGCCTCTTCTTTAGGTCATGCCACCTCCCAGCTAGCACCAAAGGCCACTGTGACAGAAAAGAACCATCTCTGTCTCTCCCCAGTGCCACTTGCACCTGAGATCAGAAGCCAGGAGCTTGGGATGTAGAGGCTGCTCCAGTCCAGCAGTGACAGCCAGGAGGAGTTGGTGATGGAAAGCAGCTGAGCCACCAGCCAGGACACCGTGTCCCACGTTCCCGCTGATGCTCAAACCACACTTCTCCAGCTGTTTCCAGGATGTGTTTTTAGCATGTTACCTCTGCTC